CACTGCCAGGCCTTTTACAGGCCTGACAGTGTAGCACGGTTCTTTTCTATATTTCTTGGTAGAGGGAAAACTAGTCCGGTTTTGTTGTATGTTAAATGACACGCTGAATTTGGTTTGCTTGGTGTTTAGGAGTTGAGATCTGCTGTTCAACATTAATTGTTCATTTGCTATCTACCAAATAATTTATTGACACATCACTTTAAATTAACATGTTCAACTATTCTCTCACTATCACTTGTGCTTAAAAATATGTGTAAAATGATGTGTCAATGTGATGCATACTTGTTTTTAAATAAAGGTTAACACTTGGAACCATTTTTATAATACTTGGTGACTAGATTTAAGTTTAGGAATAAATTTAGGGAAGATTTCATAACTAAAAGGTTATGTTTCATTAATTTCAAATTTAAGAAACTAAGTTTAAAATTTNACATCGGTCACAAATCAAAAATTTATACGTCATAATTTATTTATCGATCACAAATCTATTAAATTAATAATCACATATTATTTATTAGTCACAAAACATCAAATTAATTGATCACAAATTATATTTAGGTTACAATTTATCAAATTGTCACAAATTAATAATATTTTAGGTCACACAATTTATCCATTTTCATTGGTCACACACCAACCAATTTATTGGTTACAATCAACCAAATCATTTGCGACCACCACCAACGCTTGTGACTACCACCACCACACTGCTGCAACAGCCCAAATCACCGTCGTCGGAACCACCAAAACCACCTCCCGGCAACAAAACCATCGCTCGAATTTGATAAGTTGTGACCGTCACNATCATTTGCGACCACCACCAACGCTTGTGACTACCACCACCACACTGCTGCAACAGCCCAAATCACCGTCGTCGGAACCACCAAAACCACCTCCCGGCAACAAAACCATCGTTCGAATTTGATAAGTTGTGACCGTCACAATCGCCGTCGCCACCAATAACAAATCAGATCCAAAACCGACAACATTCCACAATCGCCATCACCTCACAATAGTCGTCACCGCGTCCACCATCACCACCACCACAACTACCATATCCAACCTACACATCTTCGTAGACCTATTAAAAAGAAACCATCACGGTAACAATACCTCACCCCCCGCCAGTTCCGCAACCATTACGTGACCAACCACCGCACATCGTTGCCGCCGATCCACCGCCATCATCAAAAACACCTCACTAGCACCCGCCAACACCAACAAAAACAGATCCAAAACCTCCTAACACCCCACAACCGCCATTATGTCACAGCCATCGTCGCCGCCTCCACCACCGTCACATCAAGCGGGTTGTTGCAGTAGCGACGACGATTTCAATTTGAGAGTATAGAGACGGTAGTAAAGAGAGAATGGAGGGGAGATGAAAGAACCATCGCCGTCGTCGCCACCACCACCATCACCATCGTCTACCGCCACCACCACTGCCACAGCCTCCACTTGCACCACCAACAAAAACCTCAACAACTCATGGCCACGCTCAAGGCCTCTAGATCCAACATCACCGTCGCACCTCTACCTGCACAACCAACAAAAATCCCCAACAACACCAAGACAACCCCAAACCACCACCACCACAAACAACATCAACACCACCACCACACCCCCAAGCAGATTCACCATCGCCACTGTTGAAAACCACCCGCCGCTCTCAAATCTTCTTCCACAGGATTACGCTGCCATCTTTGTTGCTGCTGCTCATGTCGCTGTGGTATATGTGGCAGTCGCATCGGCACCGTAGAGAGAGGAGATAGAGATGGAAGAGAGATGGAAGAGAGAGGAAGGGGCATCGTAGAGAAAGGAGGGAGAGAGGGAAGAGAGATGTCAAAAGAGGTGGGAGAGAGGAAAAAATTAGGGCTTGGGTGGGTATATAGATTAATTTAGTATTAAAATTATTATTATTATTTAACTGTTTAATTATGTTCTGATTTTTGTAAAAATAAACTTTAAATCTGACTTTTGAAATGTTAACTTTAAAATTCTATTTTCACGTAATTTCCTCATAAATTTGCATGATGCAAAGTTCTCTTCAGATACGACTATTAAATTTCAATCTTGTTACATGTATATCAAGTTTGACATTGTTATATGGTGTCAGCGTTTTATACATTAATTTTAAAAACACATCAAACAATTAATATATTAGATTTTGACCCATAATGTAGAATCAAACTTGTTGTACACTAAGAGTAAAAGTGCATTTGCTTGCCGATATTTTCAATGAAAAATGTGTTTTTCAACCTAATTTCCTAATTTTGTGTTGTTTGATTCACAATTTTTTTCACGAAAAATATTTTTCTACTTTTAGTCACATGATCATATCTTAAAATAAGGAAAATATTTTCTTTAGGGAGATGTGGTTTTTATTTTTCAAGCTCTATCTCATTTATCCATCAATAAAAATTGACAAGTATAATATTTTCTATATTGAAAACTAAATCAATCAAAACATATTTAATTAATAATTTTCATCCAAACAAGTTCTAAACAATTGAATTACCTAAAATTTAATTTCTTTCCATTCAAATTCAATGCTCACAATCAAACGCACTCTTAGAGTGTACAACAAACTTAATTCATTAAAATTTTCTTTTGTACTAAATGATATAGAAGCATTCGAAATTGAATTTGGATTATGCAAATAATCATTTCATGTTTATCCACTAACCGTACATTATAAATATCAGATTCGTGCATTTTACTATTGAACATATTAAGACATTGTGTGCTTTCTTTTTAATTTTATTATTTTGGTAAACACATATTACTCATGTTAATTAATTATAAATATAG